TTAGGAGGCCTTCAGTCAAAGTTTGGTCGATGTCTAAGGAAGTTTTGGCATGTAGGAGGTGATTGATAGTGGGATGGTTGAGTATTTTAGGCTTGGTAAATATGTGCGGGTTGGGTATATCTGGGTGAAGTAGGTTGATATGTTGGAGGTGGGGGTGATTGATAAGTGGGTGGTGGAGTTTGGTAAGAGGGTGAGGGTTCTTGGTAGTTCGGAGTTGGTTGATATGTGAGTGGAGGTGTTGGGTAAATTTGGTATTTGGTAGGAGATTTGGTTCTCTGTGTGACCATTATGGCTCCTACGTCCTTTTTCTTAGACACACCATCAGACTGCAAGGCCTTATTTGTAGCTTGTATTGCTTCAAAGTTTGTAACCATACCGCTTTTGATGCCCTCTTCAATCCTTTCACCCAGCTTGATAATTTCAGAAAATTTATGGCTCTCAATCAACATTAGTCGCTCATAATACTGTGGGTCTTGAGCCCAAACAAAGAATTTCTTCATCTGTTTCTTCTCTAAGGCAGGTCTGACCTTAGCAGCTTCGATCCTCCGGCGAGTAGCATACTCGCGAAATATTTCTGTAGGCTTCTTCTTTAGATTCTGAATATAAAACATATCTGGCTCATTCTCGGTGTTGAAACTAAACCTATCCATAAAGTTGGACGCCATGCTTACCCAGCTTGACCATTTCTTTGGATCTTGGCTAATGTACCAAGACAGAGCATCTCCTTTTAGACTCCTCATAAAAAGCTTCATGCGGATTCTCTCATCTTTCCCTACTCCTACCAGCTTGTCACAGTACATTCTCAAATGGACCCTTGGATCCCCTGTACCATCAAACATCTCGAACTTAGGAGGTTTGTACCCCTCGGGCAGTTCAACATCGGGCTTTATGCAAAGATCTTCATAGCTCAGCTCTTCAATTCCCTTTCTTCCTTCAACGCCTTGAATTCGGCTAGTCAATTTCTTAAGTTCCTCAGCCAGGTTCCTAATGAGCGAGTCTTTATCATCAGACTTGGGTGTGTTTGAGATAGGTTGGGTGGAATGTGGCATAGTCTCCACATAGATGAGGGTGTTATGATGGGTGTGGAAGTGGTCATTTGTGGAGTTTTGGGGTTTTGGGATGAGCAGCAGAGTATTGTTTGAAGTATGGCGGGTGCTGCAGTGGTGTGAGGAGCAGGATAGTTTTGTTGCTTTGGGATATTTTGTGGGGGTGCGGGTTCTGAGCATTTGGGAAATTGACATCTGGAGTGGTGAGGGAAAATGACAGATTTGCCAGATTCCGAACCTGATCAAGTTCTTCATGGAATTTCAACAGCTTTTGTTCGAGTTGGGATGCATTTTCTTTGGAAACCTAAGTACCATGACCATGAGTGACTTCTACCCTTTCAGTTGAGTTTTCCTTTCTGGCGTTGTTCAAATCTTCCATCTTCCCTTTGTTCTTGTTTTTGACAAGACTAAGAGGGGGAATGGGTAGAGGGCCCCTGGATATCGTGGAATAAGATGATGCTGCCAGAGTGCACGAACTAACCTTTGGGGAGGGGAAATAATAAACAAAAAATAAAAACAAAAAGGTAACAAGTTAGTGAGGATTATATAAGTATTGCAATATTTAAACACATAATGCGGGAATGTAAACCGTGTCCTAACTTGGGAACCTCTTTGTGCCCGAGGTAGGCCTAGAGACAAGTTGATTTGGAGAACTTACAATTCTAAATGCCTCATTTTATTGATAAAAAGTAGACGAATCCCAAATTGACACTAAATAACAGGAAATAAAAGTCACTAGTGGCTATTGGCCTTATTACATTTTTAAAGCAAAAAGATAAACTCCTATCTATTTGGTCCCAGAAGGACCTTCCTCAGGTTGAATGCTCTCGTTGATCAAATCCTCCAGCTCGCGTAGGTTCACCAGAAAAAATGCCTTTGCCAGGTGTTCTCCTTCGTTTTNTACCGAAGTTGGGGACCTCGTTCTTCATTTTCTGCAAAACAAAAGGGTTAAGACCATACCCCCACCCGACTCGACTATTTAATATCAACAATTAGCATGAAACATTTAGTTCTCCAAATAAATGCACAGAATGTGGTGACGTTCGTTTGAGTTCAGGGAAACCCATTGGACTTTGGACAAGGCTATCTTAAAGAGTTATTATGCGGATAACATAACTGATTCGGCTAAGTTTGACCATGATACATGCACAGTTAAATGGAGTAAGGTTTCTATGAGGTTTTAGACTGGTACCCTTGACCAGACAACTCAAAGGGCAAAGTCACAAAGCCGTCGACTACACCGTTGATCGACTGGTTTTACCGCAAATATGCCTTTTCCAAATTTAGGGGGTGATAATATCGGAATAGCGCAACCACTCATTATAAGCGTTGCTATGTGATTTTTTCGGCACGAGTGAAATATGATGTTGAGCATGATTATGCAATAATTTAAAATATTTTGTCACGTATTTGCACATTTAAGAAAAGAGTAAATACAACAGTTTCATAATTTAAAGCAGTAGTAAAGGAAAGCAGTAAAGGAAAGAAACAAAAGATAAGTCAGTTTTGCAGTTGAAAAGGGAGTTGAATGAACAAATAATTGCACTTAAAGAAGCATAAATTCACAATGATAGTCTGAAATGGTAAAAGCCTAAAAATCCCCAGCAGAGTCGCCATGCTGTCGTGCCCCCTTTTTCTCGCGAAATCAGGTTTATGACATTTGGAGGGACAACTCGTTCCTTTTGGGAACTAGGTTTGCATTTGAAGATTCGCCACATAATGATTAAGGTGCATTAGGACACCAATAGGGTTTGATTTGAATAACCAGAGATTGGGTAAGGGCTTGAAGTTATTCTAAGGGGAAGGTGTTAAGCACCCCTCAGAATCCACTAATATGGTTCCCGGCCAGACAGTTATTGTGAATTTGGGTGCAATTAACATATAAGCAAATAATACCCAAATAAGAGGAGATTTCAATACATAATGGTTTGTAAGTAAATAAATTTGAAAGAACGATCAAAGAGTTGATTTTTAAATAAAGAGTTACAATGCTCAAAAAAGAATAAAGAATAAAGGGGGGGGGGTCCTAAGTTCATTAAAAATATGGATCACCCCACATATCCACATATCCTCAAATAGGGGCTACACGTGACATTATCGTGTGGTCATCATATCCATATCTATCCTTCCCACCCTGTTAAGGTATTAAAGTGGATTGGTCTCGATTACTTATTGCATGCTATTACCCGTCCCATTCCTATCAGTCCTGGAGGTACTTAGGACTACGAATCCTAAAAGGAAGGAATATTAGGCTTATTTGAAGTTTTAAAGGTAAAAACTATAGGACGACATACAAAAAAATACATACTGCATATTAAAGGGGAAACACATAAGCATATAGTCTCAAGTATAGCTCCTCAAACAAAACACATAAAATAGCATGTTGTACACACACTACTTAGGTCTGATTTAAAATACTGAAGATGAGGGAGATTAATTATTGAGGCAGATTAGTTTATTACATAACTCAGATAAGAAGTCTGAATCAGGACTGCCTGCTGGTTGTAGCAATTAACAAAGCGGATTCAATTTGCATCTATTACTCTAAGGATTGCCTAAATGTTTAGGCGGGGTCCTATATGCATCCATGCTAAACCTTGTTAAGCGAGGGAATTAGGTTATTAAAAGAGGTTCAGAATGTACAAAATTAAAAATTAAACTAGTTACAGGTTTTGCAGGAGATAGTATCTATTATTACTGATTTTAGTTCCTAGGAGTATGAAATTAAAAAGTACCCTATAGGCATGTTTTCTAAATGAAGTTTGCATATGCAGAATTTAAAACACCATATAGGCATGGTTTCTACCCTTGCATGCATATTACTCAACCCTTTTTACTAGCCAGCCCCAAATATTTATTACAACTTATTACCAACCAGAATAATAAATTACATCAGAAAAGTAAAAAAGAAAAGTACAACCAGAGGAAGCCTGATTCTTGACTTCCTCTCTGAGTTATGAGATAAACCAACTCAAAGACCATTGATCCAAAGCCTTTCTTCAGACTTGAGTATGTCAGAGTTCCCTAAGGGCCTCAATAGGACCCCGGGCAGTGCTTACACCCATGTTTCATAATCAGAATAGGGACAAGTGCAGTGTGGAAGTGCCAGCCCTCATGTGTCCGAGTTTAGAGGGAGCTCATGAGTCCCAAGGCAAGACTCGCAAGAAGGGGGAAGAACTTAAGTATAAGACAGAGTGGAAGTGTAGAAATATAGCTTTAAGAACTAAGGAAGGAAAGAGGTGTTGGGAAACAGTTACAGAGTTGATAACTTCACACAAAAGGGGTTCAGGGGTTGGGAATTTATTACAAAGAGCCTATGTACTTAGGCAAGGATCAGCTTTGGTCATGCACATCAATAGAAGATGTTGGCATACCTATAAGCCTACCAGAACACACAACATCAGAGAGACATAGAGGTTATGATCCCAGGGGATCAAGTTCGAGTTATGGACATCAATGTTCCATGCTGCCATGCCTTAAACAAACTATAAGTATCAAACACATTGGGGTAGGGGTTTAGGGTTCATAATACATAGATTCAGAATAGGAAGAAAGAAATTACAGCATGCTAAAACAAAGTACTGAATTAAATACAAGTAGTAGGCAGACAAGAATCACTACTAGAAATAAGGCCTATAGCAACGAAAATTTATGCAACATTAACAGAACCGTTGCCATATAGTATGTATCGCAACGGTCTTAACCGTTGCCAAAAGGTTTGGAGGAATTTGATACACTATACTAATCAAAACGTTGCCATTGTGCATGAACTGTTGCCATATATCGTACTATAGCAACGGTTGTCACAAACGTTGCAATAATTTTATCTATTGGCACGATATTGGGGAAAAATTACCTATGGGGACGGTTATGGTTTCCCTCCTAATTTTCCCTCTTCTATTTCGCTAAACCTGCCAATATATATTTTCATTAGTATTTTTTACTCTTATTTCATAGTAAAAAATAAAAGAGAATGTAAAACCACATAACCATATCATCAGACTCTAAACCTATAGTTCCTCTTTCTCCACTTTCACTCCCAATTTCATCTCCCACTTTCACTCCCAATTTCTCTCTCTGTCTTATCCAAATTTCCAGCATAAATAGTGCAATTAGGGTTCTTAGCCATGGGTGAGATTTAGCTTTCTTGGTGTAGAGGAGTAAATTAAATACCCAATAGATTCACAAAGTAGCAGAATCGTGAGGTCCTAACTTCAAAATCGTGGGGTCCCAACACAAATAATGCTTAGGGTCCTTATGTTGTGATTCAAATTTCATTTTCTGCCATCTATGTAAGTTTCCCTATTTCAGTCTAGTTTCAGATTTTCAATTTTCTTTGTGGTTTTTGTTTGCATGCCCACAAATTGGTGGTCTTACTTTTTTATTTCAATTTTAAATACATTTTCTTTATGAGAGTCTTTGGTTTATTCAGTAGCTATATTTAGAAGCAAGTTTTTTGTTGGCAGATTCTCTGAAAAAGATTGATTCTTTAAGCTTGTTCATACAATTAGTTTCTCAGTTAGCGTCAATTGTGAGAAATTATTGTCGCTAAAGGCACACTGTGAAAAATCGCTACCCGAAGAAGTTGTAAGTTCTTGTTTTCTAATTTAGCTACTTTTTGGTTTTTTTAATCATTTCTTTGTTCTTTAATATATTTGGTATAAGTGATGTATATGTTGCTTTAGATTTATTATTTTAACCAAAATTGTTAGGTTTTTTACCGTAAGAGTGTTTCTAGCATACTATAAGATTTATCAATTAGCCATGATTCATTAACATGTATTATTTATGTTATTGCACTCGTTCCGTTTCATACTGTCACTGTTACTTGGTCTTTGTTGCAAATTGCAATCTTTGTTATGCTATAATAAACCAAAGAAAATTCAAATAAGAAATTAATAGGTGGGTATGTTATAAACTCTCTGTTTCTTGCTCTTTACAACATATTGCATGATTGTTTTTTTTTTTTTTGTATTTTTCCTTTTCCTCCGAGGTTATAATGTATGCATGTATGGATGCTTTCGAACAATATACCGACGTTATGTTCTTCTTTGATCATGTCTATAAATTAATTAATTTTACGGTACTGTTAATTTTTACATAATTTATATCATGGAACTTGAAGTTAATTTGTTGCTGTAGCTTAATCAGAGCATTGTCAATTTTTTAAGTTAATTTCAAGTCTAATCTTCAAACCGTTCTTTCATTTGTTGTATATAAATACCATACTTATATCATATACATTCTCTGGTATACTATTTGAGTTTTTTAGTTTCTAAAACTGTTAATGTTCTGTTGGGTATTTCCACTGTTGTGTTTCCTTTCTTTATGATTTTTCACTTGTTTGATAATCCATAATAAAGGTCATGCCAAATACACATTTTTATTCAACTATTCTTTTGCATTTACATATAAAAAAAAATTTCTTCAGACCCCACCAGTTGTGCGCTACTGTTTTACTATATCTATATATATTGCTTGCTAGCACAGAAACCAATTGAAGTAGAAAGGTGAAACTTATAAGTCCTCCTCGATTAATATCATCAGAAGAAGGGGGAAAAACACACACACACACAAAGAGAGAAACAAGTAGTGTGAAAAGAAAAGGAATGGAATGGAGGAAGTGTTATTTGGATGTAATATTAGTTCCATTATGGTTTATGATATGTATGGGATATCATATTTGGTTATGGCATAAGGTTAAGACACAACCTTTTCAAACTATTATTGGAACTAATGCTAATGGCAGACATTTATGGGTTTCTGCTATTATCAAGGTAACTTATACTGCTTATTACTTCCTTCAATTCTTTTGTCTGTTTTGTTTCTTTCTTCCAATCTCTTCAATTAAGTTTTATAAGATTTAGTCCCTAATATCCAGAAGTTTTTCTGAAGATGTATCAAATTAAAAAAATGAAATCAGGATTTAAAATTAGTGAATTTAGAATGATTTCTCTTACGTCTTGTCTATTCAAAGCGGAATACTACTATTTTGCACTAGTTTCACACTTGTTTTGCATCAGTTTTGGATAAGATTGGGGTTGCAATTGAGCTGAAAATCTGCAAATCACACTTGTTTTTCACACTTTTTATAGGCACAGTAAACTTCGGGTAATTCTTTTGAAGTTCATTCTTCGTCTTGTCTTCGTGTCCAATACTTTTTAGATTATCAAAATGCATAAGGCAGAAATGTATTAGATGTTTAACATAAAAGCTTACTTGTTGCAGGAAACTTCAAAAACTAATATTGAGAATCGAAAAAAGTTAAAGAATCCACACACTGCTGGTTTTGCTACAATCCGCGAGGTTCGGTATTTTCTCTTACATTAATATGAACTTGTTAACCTTACTTGGGAAGATTTTTATATTGACTTTCATGTAACTAGAAAAAGAAGAAGGAAACTTCTGAAGCTCCATCAAGTAAGGACATGTTTGTTGCTACAAGATCAAGAAAACCCGGTCGAGTATACAAGGAATCATATAAAGATACAATGCACAAAATTGTACAAAGATTTCTACTTTAAAGCTTGTCTAGATTATCTTTTTGGTCCTAATTGTTAACTCACTTTTATTTACTTGTATTTTCTTCTCTTAAATTTTATTTGTAGGCTGAAATTGAGCAAATACAAAATCAAGAAAGTGAAGATAATAACCAATCAATTGACGCATTTACAACAGTCATGGGACCTGAGCATCCAGGTCGCGTAAGATTGTATGGTCGTGGGGTTACAAAGACTATCTTGAAACAAAAATCTGGAAATTTTGGAACCTCTTCAAAGACTATTGATGAGATAATGGAGCAAAAAATGGAAGAAATGGAAGAGAAAATGCAAGAAAGGATGCAGAAAAAGTTCGAGGAACAACAGGAAACTTGGTGGCAACAAATTACACGTAATGTTGTTGCACAACTTCAGCATCTTAAACCAGATTTACGAATTGATCCTAGTATGCTAGCATTAGGTGATCCTTCACTCGGAGAAGCTTCCTCTGCACAACAAGCTGGAATTCAACTAATTAATCTTCCATCTACTGGCAGTACTAATCAAGGTGTGTACTTAATTATTGCAAAATATTGCATCTCTTCTTCTCTTTCTTCTTCACTTCTTATTCCTCTTCTTCTTCTTCTTCTTCTTCCTTTTCTTCTTCTTCTTCGTTGACAAATTGTTGATGTCGTTCTCTTTCTTCATCATCTTCTTCTTCTTCTTGTTTCACAGTTGACACATTGTTGTTGTCGTTCTCTTTTTATTTCTGGAATTGAATATTAATAATAATTGTGACACATTAGGAAATGAATCTTAAATCTCAAAAACTATTAGAAAACAGTGAAAACAACCTTAACAGAACTTCCTTAGATGAACTTCTGTTTGCTATTTTTGAAGCCAAAAGAGAGAAGAAATGGAAAAAATATTTAGCTTAATGGAGTGATTAGCTTTTGACCACCGCTTGTCCTATGGGAAGATGATAAAAATGTATCTCTTTAATCTTAATCATTGGTATCTTTCTTTTTATTTTATTTCTAGAATTTATAGTGTGTTCATGTTTCAGTATCTATTTGGTAATGAGATCTTTATTTTCTGATATTTGATTAGTTGTCTGGAGTGTTTCTTGTTGATTCCGGACATTGTTCTGTTTCAAGTTATCATTTTATGCACTTTAGCTTTATTGGACATCATACAATATGTTCTTTTCTTTATTCATTTGAGTGCTAAAATTATTTCTTAAGAAATTCCTTTCTGGCCATGTACTACTTGAAACATGAAGGATGCCAATGTGATTATGTGAACTAGTTGACAAGTTCAAGTAGTAGAAACCATATCTAGTACTTGATTTTCTCTTTAAACATGTAATTAGACCAACATCTGCTTGGAAATGCCACCAGTCCAACATGCCATGTACAGACTTTTGAAGAAGATAACAGGCCACCCACATCTAATGCATTGCAGACAGTTCTTGTGGACACTCATAAGCAGAAACAAAGAAAATGAGGTACCAATCTTAATTTTTTTGATGTTACAAGCCACACAGTTACACCCATATCTCATATGCTCCATCTCTAATTCTCTTCTGTCATTCACAACACACAGAGGCAGACTACTCACACATCTTTTTTGATTTCATGCTTTCCTATCTTCAACATAACTTTCTTTGATGATATTGTTAAAGCCAAGTTGAATATAGATGTCTTGCTACATAGGACTGTTCCCTTTAGATATTTGTGTACTTGTTTTGTGTCCTATTTCATTGGGAGAGTCAACTTACATTGTATATGTAGGACCTTTTGTACATGGAAGGAGTCCTTCCATCCTTCCTATATAGTTGACTTAGGCTTCTTATTTCTCTTTTTTTTGGGATCCAGTTGTTTATCAATTGTTGATAGGCAATTAGCTTTTCTTTATAGGTCTAATTACACTTAGTTTACAGGGCCTAATTGATTATCATGTTTATGTGCTTATATCGAGATGTTGTGTTCTCTTTTGGCTAGCTTCATGTCAAACAGTGAAGACAAGTTTAGATATCATGTAACATAGGGATTTGACATGCTGTTTGTTATTTGTGTTGGTATCATGATCTTAATTAGAAATAGTTGAGTTAGGATTTTATATTTGTATGCAAAATCAGGAACTAGTGGCTGTTAACATATTAGAAATTTGTTCTAGGACTTCACTGCCTATTTGTTCTTCAAATTAGGTTCCAATTCAGCTATATCTCATAATTCATGGTGGAGACAGTGTTACAGAGATGGAACTACTGAAGCATAATCTACGGATAAAAAATAATTTCTGCTCATGAACAAATACACAAATCAAAAAGTTCTCTTTTAGTTTATATTGTGTGTTTGATATTCTTAAATCCTGCAAAAGACTTGACCTTTTATTTTTATTTGAATTGTTAACTAGCATTTAAAGAGATAATGATTTTATTTATCCTCTTTTGTAGATGGAGAAAATGAAAAAAGGGATGATCAAAGGAATGAAGATCCTGCTTAAGAAGATTTTTGGATTGTTGCTAAAACTCTAAATGTTCTAGGAATCTTTTGTTATCAAACATTTTGAAACTTCTTTAACTTTTAGATTGTAAAACTTATGTACTTGGTTCTTAACTTTTGGATTATTAAACTTATGTACATGGGTTCTAATATTTTTCTTTTACGGATATTACAACTTGGATTGTAAATGTTTATGATTAGTTTTATTTTGTAATTTATATAAATTATTGTGTTATAATTTAATGTAAATATTTATTTACTATCAGGGAGTATATTGTTGGTTCAATTAAATCGTTACAATAGCTTACCTTAGTCGTTGCTAAGGTAACAAAAATTGTCTCAATTAACCATGTAAACGGTTGCAATATGACAGGTAACCATTGCAGTAGGTAAACCAAAACCATTGCCATAGGTACTATAAACCGTTGCAATAGATGTTGCACGCCGTTGCATTAGAACCAATTAGATTATTGTTACTGTTAACAACCCGTAGCAATAGTAATTAAACCGTTGCAATAGCATCAAAAAATTGTCGTAATATCCTAACTTAACCGTTGCAATAGAAAACATAACTGTTACACATACATATATTGCAACGCCTTTGAACCGTTCTAGTTGATTGAAAATACTCGTCGCAGTAGAATGATAAGTAACTGTTGCAATAGATTGGTATAGGGCAATGGTTTTCGGAACCATTGCAGTAGAGCTACTGCAACGGGACCTAGTTAGATGGACGCAAAAACGTTGCAATAGCTCTATGGCAATGGTTTTCTTATGTACTGCAACAGTTTTCTATGTGTTGCCATAGGTTTATTTTCCAGTAGTGAATGCAAGAACATTAAGTAACTATGTTGTCGTTGATGCTAAAACCTAATTAGGAAATACCAGTTCAAAGAAGCAAAACGTAGTAAAGAAAGGTAGTAGGATTTTTGAAATATAGCTTTGGCTTTCAGCCAGCTAAATAGGCCACAGTAGAAGTAGTGAAGCAAGAGAGAATGTTTTGAGTGTAAGTGAGTTCAGAACTAAGAGCGTTCGTGTGTTTGTGCTAATGAAAGAGCAAGGTACTTATAGTTTGAAAACAGGTAGAAAATCAGGCAAGAATCATATTTTAGCAGTAATTATGGAACTATGTACTAATTAAAAACAAATCAGTATAAGTACTTCATTTAATTAAGGAGTTAAATTTAAACGGTAATAGGCAGAAAACATTTAAGGAAAGAAATCAAGTAGAGCATCATGTGCAGAATAGACAATTAGGGGTAAGTACATAGAGGTTCAATTAAGGGAACAACTAATGAAGAATCCTTGAAATACTCGGTTAATCCAAATAAGGTAAGAAGACAAAATAAAGTTGCAGAATATGGAGATAATCGAAAATCAGTACATAGTAAATTAGGGAATCAAAGATTTCGAAATCAATGATTTAAGGAGAGTAACATGGTTTCCCATGAGTAAGCAAATAAACCGAGTGAAAATACGAGAATCGAAAGTCTAAGGAATGTTTTCAAATCAAGCATAGAATCAAGGAGCTCAAAGTCAATCAAAGAGAGAACCATGAGTCCTGTTTTAGCATATAAATAGAGTGCACAAAATATTAGGCATGTGAGGCTAAACTATGGCAAAGAGAACCAACATGCAATAACAATCACAAAGTCAGTAGAAAGTTAACTATCAAAACATGGTAGTCACATAGGTCAACTTTATTAGCTTAGTAATATAGAAAAGAGAGAGTATCAGCAGCATGCAAAAGGGTCAAGTAAAAAAAAAGCCCTTTCTGAAAAGTATTGTCTAGTTTCAATGATTGCAAGAAACCAAATCACATAAAGAAACAGATGCTGAAACAAAAAGGATTTCGAATCCAATTGAGCAATTTCAAACAGGTGAAACAGCTTAAGAAGCTCGAATAGGCCCTCAAAGAAATTAGGGTTTTGAAACCAATCGGATTCAGAGATGATGAACAAGTAAATCACACAGCAAATGGTCTCAGAACTCGAATGAACCCAAAATTTTAGGGTTTTTACCACCAATCGAGTCTATAGATGAAAAACAAATAAATCGAACAAATACTAACAAAAATAGAATCGAAAACCTCGAAAGGAGTTAAGGCCCTTAACAAGCAAACTCAAGTAAAAGAATGGCATAAGGAAACACAGCAAAACGTTCTTAATAGAAAACCTAATCGGAAAGGATAAAGGTTTTGAAGGTAGAGGTCTTAGAAGAAACTTTGAGGAAAAATGTTTAAAAATTTAGAGCAAACACAAATCTAAAACAGATCTAAAAGAAATCGGAAGAACCTTAAAGGTTAGGGTCTCAGAAGAACCCCAAATGGTGAGAAAGGCTTTGAACACCATCGATCTAAGTAGGAGAGTCAAGAATCAGACTCGAATAGCCATAGCTGGCTGGGGAAAGATCAGAGATGACCGGAGAACAACCATAAACTGAAATCAACCCAGGTCTGAATCAAGTTCTTTCACAATCTGGCCTTGAAACCATAATAATCGGGCACATAGAGGCCAAAGGAGGTGGATATAGGCCTCCAATGGTCTTGGAAGCCATGTATTTGGGAGGTTTTCGGGTGGTAGTTGAGGGCGGCGGCTATGGTTTGAGAGGGGTTTGAGAGACGATTGAGAGAGAAGGGGGAAATGGTTAGGGTTTGGGGTAGTTGGGAATTAATTTACGAAAGGGTTAATGTGAGCTGTTGATCTAGGTGATCAATGGCTAGAATTAAACGGGAATCTGGGTGGGTTGTTTTAAAGGGACATGGGTCGGTTTGAATGGGAATTGGGTCGGGATAAAATTGGGTTTAAATTGAATTCAATTGGGGTCCGAATTGGGGCTATAATCGAAATGAAATTGGGCTAACATTTAAAAAGCTACTTTTCACTATTTGATTTATAAAAAATAGTAAAATAATTTTTGAAAATAAATTAAAGGTACTAAAATGACTAATAGTGTATAATTATCAACTTAAAATACTGGACTTAATTTTTATAGATATAAACATAATTAAATCCCAAAGAGGCTAATATTGCAATTATATGCAATTTAGCTTTAAAAGTACTAAATAAATTTTTAAAAATATGCAAAAAAAATATTAACTTTATTTTAGCATAAATATGAGAATCCAATAAATGAATTACCAAAATGATAACTTTTGGAATTATTATTGGATTTTTATGAATAAAATAGGGGAATAAATTTGTTTAAAATCTTAAAAAATTAAGGATAAAATGATTAAACATTTGGAATCACTTATATATGTATACATAAACTATTTTGAAAGTATTTTGCATATTGAAAATATACAGAGAAAAATTGGGTATCAACAAAGGTACCGTCGTCGATTCGGTTTTTCAAGGACGCATTAACTGCGTCCGTCGGTCAATCTTTCAAAGCCTCGATGACCGTTTCGTAACCCCCTATAAATGGGGTGTTTTGGTGTTGTTTTTCCTATCTCAGTGCCTTCGTTGGCTTGCTTGCCTATTCCTTCCTATCATCTTCTCTTACCATTGAACATCATGCTTGCGGCTCATGGCCTCAAGGCCGTTTGGCGGAGTTCCCTTAGATCGTGTTGTAGCCCTTTACCGAGACTTTCCTTTGACGATCATAATCATGCTGTCCCGTTACTGCTGTGGTCATTGATATGCTGGTTTTTGCTGCTGTTGTTGGCACGAGATGATGACGGACGGGGAGATAGTTTCCCCCTTATGTAGACAGTCGTTCGGACTATGCACCGCTGCTCACTCTCCTACCCAGGCCTGGTGTGGCACTTCATCCCTTGGGTTCTTTCTTTCCCAAGGGATAAAGTGGCACTACCTGCCGTTGAGGCTGAGGTCCGCCGAATCTTCAACCTTTTGCTTCGGCGGGTCATGTCTCTTATCTCTGCCTCCTCTGAATCCCCTCCTTTTCCTCTTCTTCATCTTCTCCAGTGGGAATCCCTTGGGGGATTGAGATGGGAACCTAGAGGAGGTGGCGGTCAAAGGAATCGCCCTTGAGGATGCATGCTCGAGGGGGCGGCGCTTAAGGACGCTGATATCGAAGATGGATCTTTTTGAGGGTGGACCGGGCCCTCGGGTTTCATCATATGTACATCCTCCCATTCGTCCGCTTTAGGTGTAGACCTCTATAGGCTTTTGTAATTATATGTAATGACCCCTTCAGGGCTATTTATACATAGATTTTTATAAATATGAATATACTCTATTGACTCTTGCTTTCGATCTTTGCCTTATTTCTGTATGTTCTCATGCCCTTCGAGGCCTTTCGAATGTCTTCTTTAATTGTTGACTGCTGATATCTGACTTGGGCGCGAGCGTTCTTTACGATCCTCTGCCAATCGCCATGGCTCTCTTCCGAACCCATCGTCATACCTCAGATCAATCCTGAATTGATCTGATAGGCTCGGGCTGTCGGACCCTCCGAGTTTTATGGAGATAATATGCCGAATTCTGGGATCTTCGAGGATGTTATCCTGAATGAAGGTCATCTTTGGGTACCTGGGGGTCCCTTTTGATCTTGATACAGATAGCCTTCTTAAAACGTATAGGATAAACTTCTACTGAGAAGTTGCCTGTACTCAGGTGCTACCTCAGACCTTCGTGGAGCTTTCATGATCGGAGCTTCCTGTGCTTATTCCTCTTTTTAGAAAAGGGAACCATGAGATTAGGTACTGCCTCGCATCGAGTGATGGCGTTGAAATATTCTCGAAGTCTGACTTCTTTGTGGCGGGTATCCTCGAGGTAGAATGCTGCCTCGAGATTGGATATAATACGGACGATTCCTCGAGTCCTGACTTCTCGTCGAAGGATGGTTTCTGGATCGGGTATCACTCCGTCGATCTATATCGAGGCTGTTGGCTTCTCGGGGGTGACTTTGGGTAGGCAAATCGTCATTGCTTCTCACATAGATCGGCTTCGGCTTCTTTGCAAGACCTCACTATTTTTAGATAGCTGCCCTTTCGCTTCGGCATAGGGTTCTTCATTTCATCAGGCGCAAGGGCGGACGAGCGTGACGCGCTGTCACTTTTGCTAACGACGCAAAGAGCGAATTCGACAAGTTGTACCCCTTGTTGATTCCTCCTTTTTCCCGCTTTGTATCTGATATTTGTAGAACATGTTTGTAGACGGAGAGTGCGCCTTTTTGCATATTTAAGATAAGAAGAGACTTGAA